TAAAATACAAGGGGAAACCTTGGGAGAATGTTTTTGTAACTTTGAAATGGGGGAAGCCTTTCAAATTAAGACATGAAACCCAAAAACCATAAAATAAACCACTATAAACAATGTCAAAAATTAAACTGGGACAAGAATTTGCATTTCTTATGCCATTCAAAGTTCATTTCCTAACATAGAAAAAGCTCCTTAAAAAAAAGTTAGAAACAAACACCATGAAAACAAAAAAATGGCAACAATTCACATGCAAAAAAAAAAAAAAAAACCAATATCTTTTAAATAAATGAAAAAACGCTCAAACTTGCAGAGAAACTTAAGAATATACTGAGATAGGAGCACCTGGGTAGCTCAGGCGGTTAAGCATCTGCCTTCAGTTCAGGTCATGATCCTAGGGTCTTGGGATCAAGCCCCATGTCAGGCTCCCTGCTCAGCAGGGAGTCTGCTTCTCCCTCTTCCACTCTCTCCTCTTGTGCTCTCTCTCTCTCTCTCAAATAAATAATATCTTTAAAAAAAAAGAAGAATATATCAAGATACTGCATTCACCTTTCAGACTCCCAGAAACTTAGTAACGTACCATGTTGGGAAGAAGGCATTATTCCCTACTGCTGATAGAAGTGTAAATCTTTCAGCTCTAAGGAGGGCAGTTTGGCAACATCTATCAAAATCCACATTCCTGTTCGGATTCAGATTTCTTTTCTAGAAAATAGGTACAATTACCTTCATGTATCTATAAGCTTATTCACAGCAGTGCTGTTCATAATAGCACAATACTGGAGGCAAGCTAAATGTCCCCCAATAAATATGGTAGAGTGTTATATAGTCACAAAAAAGAATTAGGAGCCTCTTTATGTGCTAAGACAGAAAGATCTCTAATATATATTAAGTGGAAAAAGTCAGGTGCAAAAGAGTGCATGTAGTAAGCTCCCAATTAACTAAAAGGGGGGACATGAATATATAGTCACACGTTCTTATTTGTGCATAAAGTGTGACCAAGATAATACAAGAGGAATGAATAAAATACAATTGCCTATAGGAGGAAAAGTGTCCGGAGCACAGATGCAGGAGGGGGAATTTTTACTCTATGTCCTTTTATACTTTGGATTCTAGATCACATGAAGGTATTACCTGTCGAAAAAAAATTGAATGAAACTATTAATTTAATGAGTAAAAACTAATCTTATTAACTCATATATAGGGGAAAGGATTTTGCTGTATTTTTTTTCCATTCTTAAAAAAAATGACCCCATTCCTTAAAAAATGTCCCCAGTCCTCAAAAGTACGCTGTCTTTGTATTTGAGGACTGATAGGGATTAATAACTACGCAGAGGTCCCTTTTTGCAAAGGTGTCAGTCCACAAGTTCGATGAGTACCTACTATGTGCCCAGCCCCTGACCTGAGTACCAGGTGGAAGTGTGGAAGCAGCAGGCCTTTGTAGGGTTACAGCCACTTCCTCCATGAGGGAACGGAGTTAGAGGGGAACCAGGGATTCTGTTTGCCCACCTGCAGACATGGGAGTCCTTGAGGGGCCAACCCGTGTGCCCTGCTCAGTTACAGCCCCTCCTGGGAAGGAGAAAAGCCCACTCATCCTGTCGTGCAAGCCAAGCCCTCAGAGCCAGTAAGGCTGAGAAAGGATTGTCCCTGACCTTCCCAGGGAGGCTTTAGAGACTCCTCAGGGGTCTAATGCCAGCAAGTGGGGACATCCTGGGGCAGGATCCCAAAGGGGAAAGTTGGGACTCCAGGGCAGCAGTGCTGCTAGGGAGGAGGGAGGGAAAACCAGGAGGGCCTGAGCAGCAAGCAGAATTTCAGAGACCCCATCCTCCTTCAGCAGCCCTTTCCTCCCACGCCCCCTGTAGGGGAAGGATGGCCTTTCCTCCAAGGGAGCAAGCCTGGCCCTGGGTGGCCTTGGCTTTTCCATCCGCTGAAACCCCACTCCGGAGCTCACTGCAAGCCCAGTACCAGTCGTGTTTGGTCCCAGCTGTGGGTTTTTTGTTTGTGTGTGTGTTTGTTTTAATGAGACTGAAGACTTCCAGAGGAATCAAGTTTTAATAATGGGATTTCTGGGCCCCACGGGAATTTCCAGCTGTACTCGTCTTCCCCGTCACAAAGGAAAGGAACATAAGTCACTGTCTTTTCCATGGGATTTGGTTTCAGGTGGGGGAAGCAGAGCTTTAGAGAAATATAGCAGAGGGGAAATTTGACGAGGTAAGTAGTGGCAGGATTCCTGGCATCAGCAGTGGGACCGCATGAAGACATGGTTTGGCCTAGGGCCTCTCTTCCCCACAGCGAGGGGCAGCTGCCTGTGGACTGCCTGGCCCTCACGGTCCCCCTGGGCCCTCAGCATGGGGCAGCTGCTTCCCTCAGGGAGAAGAGGGGACAGGATTGCAGGAAGGGGATGGTGTGCATCTGAGCCAGGACAAGGGCAGACAAAGAGCAGATGGGGAGAAGCCATTCCATCTTCTCTTGTTCCAACTAGGACGCCTAAGCAGAAGGAGATACCGAGCTGACTTTTCAGAAGGGCAAGGTTCAGGCAGGCTTGGAATCTTCCAGACCTACTCCATTCCTACAAAGTGGAATGCCCCCTTCTGACACGTCTTTAAAAGAGAGGGCTTTGAGAGGTAGCATGTAGGGTCCTTTCTCAAATCAGGGCTGGTGGCTGACATTGGAAGAAGTCCCCAACGCGAAGGCAGGAAGGGGAAGGAGTGTAAGCACACAGGGGCAAGAGTACCAGCCTTTGGAGCAGGGGACTGAGTTCAAGTCCCAGTTAAGTCAACCCCCTTGTCACCTTTCAGAAATCACCTATGTTCTTCCGGCTTCCATCTACTGACTGCTGCCACGATCATAGCAAAGCATGCTCCTCTGAACCTTCGGTGTTGTTCAGAACATGAATGTGGTTTGTTGACCACAGAGGTGCTTTCCACCTTTGTTATGCTGTTCCTAATACACGTGTTGCCATGGCGATCATTGTGCGTGCGGGTGGGTAGGGCAATTCTAGATTTAAGAGGTGTGAGGGGCTGTAGCTCAGCAGGGTGCACGGTTCACCCCCCAGAGACTCCCACATTTGCAGGCAGATAGACAAAACCCCTGGTCCCCTCTAACTCCGCTTCCTCGTGGAGGAAGTGGGTGCAACCCTGTAAAGGCCTGCTGCTTTCACACACTTTCATCTCCGCCCTTCAGACAAGCAGGAATGGGTCATCCCGATTTGATAAACAAGGTAACATAGACCAGCAAGGTGACTTCACCAGGGCCATGCCACCATCGGGATTAAAACCCAGGCCAGGGATCCCTGGGTGGCGCAGTGGTTTGGCGCCTGCCTTTGGCCCGGGGCGCGATTCTGGAGACCCGGGATCGAATCCCACATCGGGCTCCCGGTGCATGGAGCCTGCTTCTCCCTCTGCCTGTGTCTCTGCCTCTCTCTCTCTCTCTCACTGTGTGCCTATCATAAATAAATAAAAAATTTAAAAAAATATATTTAAAACCCAGGCCACCCATGCCCACGTCAGTGTCCCTCTCCCTTCCCTCCCACCCTGGCTGACGCTGAGCCTTGACCACACACGGTGGCCAGGGTGGCAGGTCAGGGAGCCCGGTCCCAGTGGCTCGGCTTGGTTGGGCTCGCTTTTCTTTCTGCAGTTCACAAGCATCTGCTTAGAACAGCATATTTTATGAGCTTTGCTTTTCTCAAGAAGTCCCAGCTGTAAGCGGAAACAGGGCCGCAGGTGCAAAGCAGGCAGGCCCTGAAATGCTTCCTGCCCCACCTTTGCACTCAGGCCTGGATTCCTGATGGTGGCTGGAGTTCAAGTCCAGAAGCCAGCAGGATTGCAAGAAAGGCCCCCTCTTGCTCTGTGTGCAGGGCAGTAGGCCTTCTTTGCAATACCTACCCACCCCTCTCCAGCCCAGAGTGGCTGTTGAGGGAGGTCCAGGGTGGCCACCTCCATCTGATGGTCTGGGTCCTTCTATGGGACAAGTGTGGGCTTTGCAGATTTGGTTGGTAGGGGGATTCTTACCCAGAACTTCAAATTTTATACAAGATCTTAGCACCCCACGCTGTAAAGCAGGACGTAAGAGAGCTACTCTGGCTGAGGCCAGCAGGCCCCCATCCCCCAGGACCCACACTCACTGCACAAAACCACCTGGACTCTGTAGGCCCTGGTTGTTGCCACCAGCCTGTCTTCCCTCCTGTCCCCAGACCCTTACCCCCTTTGCCTCCTGGCCCTGTGAAGACTGGTAATAGATACAAGTTATGCTCACACAGGCAGGTCTCCTACTGTCCTCACTATGAATTTCAAACTCCTCTTGCATTCTAGGCTCTTCGGGGTTTCAACATGACTGTCTTGCCCCACCATTCACCAAGGCCCAATTCTCTGGTCCCTTCACTGCCTTTGACACCCACCATGTTGGCTTTCCCTTCCCTCCCACCTCCTCCCTTCATGCTCTTTCCAAACCTGACCATCTTCCCAAGCTTCCCTTGAGAGTCACGTTTTCCTGAAGCCCTCCCAGCCTTCACCAGCCATCGGTGGTCTCCCTGTGACACAAGAGCTCACATAGTCAGCGTTGTGTAAAGTAGCGTCAGATTCTTATGTGGTTTTATCTGAGTCACTAATGTTAAGAAGCATCAGTCTTGTCCCTCCAGCCAATCCCTATAGATTAACTCATTAAGGAAGGGAGATAAGTTGCTTATTTCTCTCATGTCAAGGTCTAAAAAATGTGAATTTTGGCACACAGTACAGCTTTAATAAATATCCACTGATTTTGTGAAACCGCAGCGGTCTTGAGATATTCCTGGTGTTACTGAAGCTCCTCCTTCATGGTAGAGAGAATGGAGGCACCTTTGGGGGTCAGCCAGTGTGGGCGAGAGCCCTGGCCTGAGATTGGTTGCCAGCAGTCAAGCCTCCTCAAAGGCTTCTGTAGCAGATTTCCCTGAGATGCACAGATCTCTCCCTACTCAAGGAGGCCCTCGTGGGATGGCTGAAGCATTAATCTTGTGGGTCTGGGCCATCTTGCAGGGATTTGAAACTGGACAACATCCTTCTGGATGCAGAAGGTCACTGCAAGCTGGCCGACTTCGGGATGTGCAAGGAAGGGATTCTGAACGGTGTCACAACCACCACCTTCTGTGGAACTCCTGACTACATCGCACCTGAGGTAGGACCGTGCGCAGGGAATCACCTTCTCCTGCCAGGGTGGAGGCAGTTGGGGGGCGGGGTTGTTCCCTTGCACTGAGGTCACCTCGTGGTGCTGGGCAGAGGTGCTAGAAAACCGGAGGGAGTCTAAGGGAGGTGGGAGAGGTGGGAGGGTAGAAGGCTTACTGATTTCTCCATGAGAAAGTGGTGGTGATGGAGGAGAGAATGGGCAAACCGTGAGCAACAGGCCATTCCCCACACCTGGGCAGGGCCTCACTGGGCATTACCCTTCCACTTCAGGCCAGAACCACCAATGGAATAGGACCAAGAGAACTGTGCAGACTTGGGTCATTGTTTTCACTTCTTAAGAGCCAGAATAAAGGAGCACGATCGATAAAGGCAGCGATTAGCTCCATCAGCTGTAATGCACCTGCAGTAAAACCAGGAATAATTATTTGCCATTTCTAGTGTAGCAGCGATTCTGCAGGGCAGGTGCGCAGGGTCGAGCAGGAAGAGGAAGGCGTGCCTCGTTATAAAGGTAGAAAAGGTAGATCAGAGATGTTAATTGGGAGCCTCACCGACAGATTGCCTTTGTGAAGTTTGGATGTTTTGTTCAACGTAAAGTGTGTATTTGCCTCGAGTTTCTCAAGTCAATCTTGTCTAGGCTGAGAGATACCTAGTGTGATATGATTAAGATTTGAGACAAAGTATGTGATAGATACTGAATAAAAGTGGCCTTGAGTTTCTGACTGTGTAAAATGGGAAGGAGATACCAACCCCCCAGTCAGCACTACCCGTTGCCCGTAGGTGTTTGTTCACACATTCGGATTGCATTTCGTTTCAGTGGCCATTGTTTGAGCACCTGCTAGACACAAAGCAATGTGAGGATGAAGAATTGACTAAGCACACCTCACTCTCCTACAAGAACTTCTGGTGTAAAGGCAGTGGCCTCTAAATAAACAGCTAATTAAGCAGAATAAATAGATAGAGGAGACAAGATGGTATCCTCATAAGGGATAAGGGAAAGCTTCCTGGGACACCTGCCAGATGCACTGAGTTGTCCACAATCCACAGCATTCCCTTTGGTGGTAGGGGTGGGAAGCATTCCTGAAAACAAGGAGGGTTGAGGTGGGGGCAGGGCAGCGCAGGAGGTTCAGTATTCCTGGGTTCTGAGTCCCTTGGGGCAGGGGCTGTGTTTCTGAGTACTCTCAGGATCCAGTACACCGATCAGGCTCTTAGTAAAGAATGAAATCATGAATCGTTTATGAATTTGTTGAATGAAATCATGAATTTGAACTCGCAACAGTCCAATGTGAGCCAAGACGAAGGGGCAAGAATATTCTTCATCTCCATTCAGGAAAGGAAAATCATATAGCTAGAACACAGGAGTTCTTAATGCTCATAGTAATGAATAAAATTAGGACGGAAGACCAAGGAAAGTGCCTTTTATCCTATGGGATCTATAGATCCATTAAGAGTTTCCCAGTGGAGGGTGTCCGGGTCTCTCAGCCCTGTCCCGGGATGAAGAGAGGCAACAGCAGTATGGCTCAGAAGACAGAGAGTGAGGGAAGGACAGTTGAGAGATTTCTCACAGACCACACAAGACATGGGGGACCTGAGGAAAGGCGTGAGGATAGTAAGTAATAGTTGAATTCCCTTTGGAACCTTTACCTTCACAGAGATCTACAAGCAGAGATTTCAATCAGTCTTCCTTAGCAGGAACACTGGGAATTTAATCTGAGAGGAGAAACCAGTAAATGTGAGGGTCCTCAATTGGGACCTGCTTTATACCGTCTTCCTCATTCTTTCCTTCTCAAAAGAATTCTTGGGTCCAAGTCCTCTGTAAGCTGATGCCAGAGTCAGAGGGTTAACAGGCCAGCAGAGTAGTTAAGGACCCAGCCCAAAGCAAACAGTCACTTTATGATGCACAAAACATCCACACAGCTTTCGTGAAAGGCAGTCCATTGACTCGAGTCACAATGAACAATGCCGACCTCTCTGTTTATGATGAGGCACAGACGCTCTTCCTTCCCATTCCACCCTTGTGGCCACAGTGCAGCACCACCATTGCAAGTGAAATGGCGAACAATCCCGGTCTTTCTGGAGGCAAATTACAGCTGATGAGAATACTGCTACTTTTATCAAAGGCTACTGGGGAGATTCAATGAAATTAGGCCTTCAAAGCGTTTAGCACGGTGCCTGGCCCACGGTGAGCTCTGGGTGATTACCATCCCTGTTGCCGGCTCGTGGGGTGGGTTGGGAAAAGCACAGTCCTACAAGTTGAGATTCCAAGCTGGACTTGACCTCTGATGCTCCCATGTGACCTTAATCAAGTCACAAAATGTTTTAGATGCTCAGCTTCCTCATCTTTCAAATGATGGGAAGAGTAATGCCTGCCCTACCTGCCTCCTCAAGCTGTTTTGAGAATCTAATGAGATTAGAGCATGAAAATGCTTGAGAAACTGTAAGCCTCTATTCAGGTAGGAGGGGCTGTGAGGCCCTCCGCTGACCCTGAAACCACAGACACCTAATGAGGCACTAGCCCTTCCCCAAGGCTTCTCTTCCCACCATGTGCCCTTGGTGAGCCCCTACCGCACCCACTCACCTTTCCACACACCCAGTGCCTGTCCCCCAGGAAATGGCAGCCAGCCCTGGGTATGACTGGTGCCATCAGGCCCATTGCCTGCCCTTCTACCTCAGTTCTGAGCCACTCAAGGGGGTAGCCACTGTACCCGTGCCCTCCCATAGCGTGTGAAGCCTTGCCCTTCTCACTGCCCCATTGCTGATAAGCCGGTTAAGAAGCAGAAAATTAGGGCCAAGCCCCAAAAGAATTTTATGAAAGATGCCACCCAAAATGGGAAGGTTCTGGAGTGGGCCTGGGGAAAGGTGGGCAGGGCTGTTCTGTGGTTTCTGCAGAGCCATCCCATCTGAGCACACATAGGCCACCTGGAGGTGACCTCCCCGCCACCCTGTAGAGGCTCAGAACCCAGATCTGCTAACCTCCTGGAGGCTGGAGGGTGGCCACCCCAGCATTCCTAGCCCTCTGAACCCAGGAGAGAAAGGAACACACCCAGTGAGGCACATAGTGGGCACACGTGGCAGCCAGTGTCCCAAGTACTGGAATTGGCCTGGTCACAGCACAGGGCCCAGAAGCATACTAGAGCCCGTACGCTTGGCGGCTTAGAGATGCCCAGGGGAAACATCTGACCATGAAAAAAAAAATCACTAAAATCATGGTAGTATGTGGAAAGTGGCTGCAGTTCTTAGGTACAGGAAAGGGTCTTAGGATGTCAGAAGAGAGAAGCTGGGGAAGTTCGGGAAAGCTTTCTGGAAGAGGTGGGTAATAACCATGTCCTTGAAACCAGCAGGGCCATGGTGAGCCAGGTGGGGTGCTAGATCCTTCATGATTAAAGGAGCCGCTGATTTTGGCTTTGACTTTGGCACAGAGCAGCGTTATTGGCTTCTCGGTCAGTGGAGCCTATAGCTCTGACCTACAGATACCGTGTGTTCACCGCTGGACTAAGAGACCAAAGAGTCTCAGCAGATTGCCAGCCCCAAGTAATTCCAAGTTGGCTGTGTTTCCTTACATTTCTTTTCATTCTAAATTCAAAGGAATCCTAAAACATGCATGTTTTTACTGTTTTCAAAATGATTTCCACCTAAGTCTTTTTACTTAATCCCAAGCAATCTCTGGTCTGTAGTCTCTAGAAGGGTGTTTTGAGGAGACCATGGAAGATCCCAGTACTCACGTTCAGCCTCCTTTTCCCTTGCCCTCCAGAAATCTGAGAACTGAGCTGGAGCCTTGTTCTGGACAGGTTACCTGAGAGGTTACCTGCCTGAGGTATCCCTCAAGCTGAAGTGACTGTACGTGGCCTTTGCCTTTTGAGGGAAAGTCCTGGATGGACACCCCTTTTAGGACATGCACTTCTGCCATGCTTGTCCTCTCTCACCTTCACTTTTTGAAATTCTTCATAGAATTACAGAGCTGAGAGCAACCTGGAGAAGTCGGCTCCTCTGTGTGTTTATGGATAGCACCCTGCCTAATCCAGCTCTGATAAAAGGAGAAAATAATTATGGGATGGAGACCTCACTTCACAAACCCTTCCTTAGCAGTGGGGCCAGCTCAGCATTTATTTCTACTCCAAGCCAAACACATATCATTGACCTGCTGCATCCTGTATATACGCAGAGACCAAGTATTTGGTTGGTTTTCATACCAACTTCCAGTTATATAGTTTTGTATCTTGCAATGTGTTTTAAAAATCTTCCATCTTAATTAATCTTAGGAGGTTCAGCTGAGAATCTGAGCTTCATTTAATGACAAAATCAAGTGAATGGTTCACGATCACCCAGAGAATTTAGCACCCAACTCGCGATGGTAGAGAAACACCCTGGCCTGTCTTCTGTGTCTTGCACAATAACACACGTCCTGTGCTCCAGGAAAAAAAAATAGGGTTGGAACGATTATTATTTGCTTTTCAAAAGGTTATGCAGCTTCTTTAGGTAGCATTCCTCCCAGACATGGAAATCATGATTCAGTTTGTAAAAACTGCAGTCCCCACACATCATTATGCAGGAAGCTGATGGCACAGAGTATTCCAAAGTCATGTGTTGTGCGTAATACATTTAGCATAAATGAGTTTGACTATGCCTTCGGCCAGAGGAAAAGAAGCAAGGGAGTCTGAGAGTGTAGGTAAGAGTAGGGACCATTGACAAAGGCAAAGCCTACTGGATGATCGAGGAGACAATTTGACAGGGGCTATTGCAGTAGAGGGAATGTTCTGATCGTGGGGGCGGAGGGGTGGCAGGGATGCCTCAGATCAAATGAGAAGGCCTGGGCCTGTGAGGCAGGGAAACAAGGGATTTGTTAGTAAGTTTTATGGGAATGGTGAGGAACATCAGAGATGGGTCTTTTTCCAGAATATCCAAAAGCCTAGGCATCCTTTGTCGCCAAAACACAAGAGGATGGGGAGATCTGTTAACTGTAGTTCCTTTTCCAAAAGCAGGGGGCTCAGGCGAATCCAACATTGGGACAATTACAAGGAGGTGCCCGGGAAGCTCATCTTCTGGCTTGGCGCTCAGCTACTTAGAGCGCGCCTGTGTCTCTCTTAATCCACGTCTTGCTACCCTGACCCTGGTTGTAGCGTCCAAAATACGCAGGCATTTTTCTATGGTCCCAAGTTCAAGTCAGGACCTTTGTCTGCTCAAAGAGACGGCGAGTGATTCCCACAGGGGGCAGACAGTCGGGGTTGCCTTCGGAGAGGTGATCGTTAGGCCCCGGCATAGTGCCTTCCAAGCTCACTTTTCCCCAAATTGACTGATTTCCCACCTCCGCCCTATGAGCCAGGGCTCTGCTGTGCGGGGACCAAGCTGCAAAGGGAGGCACGGCCCCCGTGGTCCCCGCGGCCCAGGGAGGCTGCGGGCACGTGTCCCCACGCGCCCTGACCTTGCTGCCTCCCAACCAGATCCTGCAGGAGTTGGAGTACGGCCCGTCGGTGGACTGGTGGGCCCTGGGGGTGCTGATGTACGAGATGATGGCCGGGCAGCCGCCCTTCGAGGCCGACAATGAGGACGACCTGTTCGAGTCCATCCTCCACGATGACGTGCTCTACCCCGTGTGGCTCAGCAAGGAGGCCGTCAGCATCCTGAAAGCTGTGAGTCCCCCTGCTCCCCTGGCCTCCTCCGTCTTCCCCCTCTGCCCCACCACCCCTCCCTCTCCCTTCCTCCCCACCGTGTCTCTCTGACCCACCTCTGCTGCTGCGGCTGAATGGGAGGCATGCAGGCAGCCAATACAGGGAGTTGAGGCACAAATTGCTTTCTGTGGGACCGGGACACGTCTGTGTCTCCTGAGAGGGAGCCCTGCACAAGTCTGTGTGCTCCCACATTTCAGAGGGAGCAGAACCAACCCAGGCTGCGCTGGGCCTTAGACCCTGCCTCCTCCCCTGCCACCTGTGCCCATCTCCCTCTGGAGCCTGATGGGCAAGAGGGAGGTAGGCACTGTGCACCTGTGTCCATGACAGCATCTCTGTGGCCAAAGAGCTGATCAGAAAAGAAGTGTCCCCTCAAGACATGTGCAGCTGTGCCAGATTCAGATACAACAGAGACTGTCCCCAGCCCCACAAAGAATCCCTCACATGTGAGATGCTTTGTGCTTGCTCAGCACGGCTGTTTGTGCAACGTATAGCCACTTGTACCGGGGCCAGTAAATGCAGCTCCCTGTCTGCCTGGGAAAGCTGTGGAAGGTGAGGTGCAGGGAAGGTAAGCAGAGCAGTTGACCTGGGTTGAGGCAGGACTGAAGTGACAGGCTGAGAACCTTGACTTCGGTCCTGGCTTCTGTCGCCCATCAGAATGCCGCAAAGTTTAGCACTTGGCCCGTCACATTCACCGGGTGTCCATAGCCAAGTAGCCTCTCAACTGTGATTTACTCGTCCTTTCGATCAATTACTGATATTTACCTAATTACACATCTTTTACCAAGAAATTGTATATCATAAACAGAAAATCAGTATCAATTGCCATAGCTAAGTAACACAGATCATCATAGGAAAAGGGCAAAAAGACCTCAAATCATTCTGCCGGTGTCTGGGAGCACACATACCGCATTCTGGAAAGTGCCACACCAGAGCATGCTCTTCTCTCCTGCAGCTCTTGCTTTCTTCCCCTTCCTTCTTCCCCTCACCTCACCAATATCCCTTTGCCTCCCTCCCCCTCTCCCTCACCGTTAATAATTCAATGACCTGCTGTTTATTGAGGGTTTCCAGTGTGCGAGGCATCACACCTCACACGAAGTAAGTATTGGTGAGTATAGCAGCCATCATCCAGCAGGCAAAGGTGGGCAATAAAGAAAAAAATACATCCACGCATCCAGTAAAGGAAGCAAATAGAAAATGTATATTCGCTCATCTAGTGCGTGCCAGTGAGCATCTAGTATGTAGTAGGCATTATGTGGGGGGCCGGCGAAGGAGAAGCCTGCAGGCAGCACCCAAAGCAGCCAGAGCACCAGCCCAGCAGAGCTACTCACTTGCCCGGGACCCTGAACACCAGCCCAACAAGCCAATGAGCCCCCCTGCCTGCACTGTGGCAAGACCCTTTCATTTTTGGATGACCCAGAGCAGTCACAACAACAAAGTGTGATTTTTGCCCTCCCACCCCCTAGCCCCGCACCCCCGTTCCCACCCCAGGAGATATTTGGCAACATCTGGAGATGTTTTCACTATCACAGCTTGGAGGGGGGCTGCTGCTGGCATCTGGTGGGTGGAGCCCAGGGACATTGCTAAACATCCTACGATGCACAGGACAATTCCCACAACAGAGATGTATCCAGTGCAAATTGTCATTAGCACAGAGGTTCAGAAACTTTGACTTTCAAAGATTCAGAAGCTAGAGTTTCCGCCTGTGTCAGCTGGTTGGCAAGGGCAAAGTCTCTGAGAGAAGGCATCTTCCCTGCAAGAAGAGCTTCAGACTCAGGAGCAGCTTCCTGAGATGTTAAAACCTGTATGTTTATCAGTAGCCCTGATACTTCCTCCCCAGAAGTGGAAGGGCAGGAAGAGCTAAGGAAGTAAGGAAGAGTCTTTACTCCCTTGGCCTTGGAACACTTGACTTCCTCACATTGTCCCCTTGATTCTCAGGCCAGGCCAGGTTTTCCATGACTCTGGCTACTGAGCTATGTGTCTAAGGGCAGCTACTCACATGACAGTGATGCAGAACTCTAGAGAAGACCATTTGCATCATAGAGTCATGCAGTGCACAACCTGTGCAACAGTAAGTGCCAGCCCTAGTGCCTTCCTTCCTCAGCACTGTGCTCCGAGGCCCAGCATTCAGCCCCCCCCGTTTAATCATTTAGATGTACTGAGTGCACAATAGAAGCTAGGTGCTGAACCAGGTGCTGGGAAGATAGGAATGATTCTCATATCCTGAGCTCACCAAGGGAAAGAGATGTCTAGACAAATTATAATTTAAATAAACAAGAAACCTGAGGTCCCAGGTACCTACAGAGGAGGAAATCTGGGAAGGCTTCACAGAGGAGGCAGCATTTTGACGGGTTCTTAGACGATACGTGGGGACTGGACAGCGGCATTCAACCAGGGGAAGAAAGGATACAGGAGGCCAGCCGAGGTAGCCTGGGTTCAGACTGAGAAGTTTCTGCGTGCCAAAGTCTGTGGACTTTATCCTGTGGGTGGTGGGAATCAGGAGCGTTAAAGCAGGGGTAGCCTCTGCCGACTTTTATATTAGGAAGGTGAAGTGTGTGGGATCCCTGGGTGGCTCAGTGGTTTAGCGCTGCCTTCAGCCCAGGGCATGATCCTGGAGACCTGGGATCGAGTCCCACATAGGCTCCCTGCATGGAGCCTGCTTCTCCCTCTGCCTCTGTGTGTGTGTGTGTGTGTGTGTGTGTCATGAATAAATAAATAAAATCTTTAAGAAAGAAAAAAAAGGAAGGTGAAGTGTGCCTTGGTACCATTCCTACTTCGAATCTGCCCCCACCCCATCACTCTCTTATTTGCGGCCCTCCCTATCGCGCATCCATGTGGTTTGGCTTCAGAGCACCAGGCGAGGGTCAGTAGGAGACCCTCCCCACCCAAGAAAATCTCCTTTGCTAATGAATCCTGAAATTGTATCAGTACAGATTTCTTCCTTTGGATTATGGTTCGTCCTCTTAAGTTCCTTTGTTTAAATACAGACTCTCAGCCTTCACCCTGTGAAATGTAACTCTGTCTCTAGCACACAGGTGTCACACACACACACACACACACACACACACACACCCCTCTGCCCTTACTTTGGGTGGCTAGCAGAAATAGTTCCACCTCCCAACCCTGAGTGTTTTCAAGGTTACATGGTACACATCTACTCAACTTATTTGCCATCAGAACTGACTCACTTAATAGGAATAAGCTCACCTGGGTGGTGTGGGGGAAGTGTCAGGGCCACGGATAAAAATACAGATTTTAACATCTCAGGAAGCTGCCCCCAAGCCAGAGGCTCTTCTCACGAGACGGCAGCCAACAAATATAAAACACATCAATGTGGTTTTTACAGACAAGTATTGAGAAGCCATAAGCCTTTCCTTTTCTTGTTTTTTTATCAGTTGATCTACCTGGGTATTGTATGCTAGAGATTACAAATTAAATTTTTTAAAAAGTGAAAAAGTGAGAGGGCCCGGGGCCAGGAAAAGGAGAAGTGCAGGAAGTGCCTTTGATAATTTACCTTAGCATGACTATCTGCTCCGCTTTCCTTTTTTCTTTCCTTTTTTTTCTTTTTTTTTTCTTGGTTCTCTTTCCTTACCTCAGCAAAGACCACCATTGACCTCTTGGTGTAAGTGAACTTATCAGACCTCAGTCGGCCTGATGAGAAGACTCGAGAATCTGAGGGGACTCGGGGAGTTAGTAACAGCCTGAGTTCCTACTCGCAGCTTGCTACCTTGTTGACTGACCTTGGCCAAGCTCATTAACCTCTCTGTGCCTCAACTACCTCACTTCTAAAATAGGGACAATTGATAGACCTCAGAGGCTCACATTTGGATGAAGTGAGTTAGCATGTATGCTAGGTTTAGGATGGCAGCTGGCACATGGTAAGTTCTCTACAAGAGTGAAAGAGTTCCCTGGGGGTGGGGAGCAGAGCCCCCAGGAGCGCAGGGAACAGGCTTAGGAGCTGGTACCAAAGAGGTTGCCCTGGCTGACTTCCATCTTTCCCTCGCAGCCTGTCCCTTCCAGGCCTTTGTCACTAATTCCGTTGTGTCATCCTCCCCACAGTTCATGACCAAGAACCCCCACAAGCGCCTGGGCTGTGTGGCAGCACAGAACGGCGAGGATGCCATCAAGCAGCACCCATTCTTCAAGGAGATCGACTGGGTGCTCCTGGAGCAGAAGAAGATCAAGCCGCCCTTCAAACCTCGAATTGTAAGTAGGGCCCGGAGCTCATTCCACACCATGGGTGGGGCCTGGGCGCGTAGAAAGAGGGGTTCGGGGCACCTTTCACAGCCCCAACGGCAAGGGCAGGAGGAGCCGAGACGCTCCCTCAAAGAGTCTTCCGAGGCCCTAGGAGTTTATTGATAAAAATACGTAACCTGTAGCCGTAACCGACATCGTGATTTATATGGGACACAGAAGAAGACTTTTTAATTTTAATAGAGACCGGTCGATTGCTTATGATCAAAAGTTACAAATGCTACATAACGTGTACGGTGGACACAGAAGGGAGGTTTCCTTAGAAACAAACTGAGTCCATTTAAAGAGTACAAAGTAGGAGCCACAGTCCGAGTGATGATGCGGCCTAGTGTAGAGCGCGAGGGTACGACCCGGTGCCTGACGCCTGGGAGGGGCCCCGCTGTGCCAGGCCCGGGCCGAGCCTGTGAGAGGCTGTGTCCCGAGAGCCCCCGCACCCTCATCCGCGGTGCTGTCCCTGCAGACCCCTCTCCGGCCCCAGCACCCATCTCGGTCCAGGTCCTCAGGCCTGGTGCGGTGATGCCCGTCCGAGGGGCTGCAGGAACGCATGTTGAGGCTCGGCGGTTGGCGAGAGGAATCAGAGAGCAGAGGCCGTGTCCTGGCGGTGACCTGGGGGGCAGAGGGGCAGCCGTGCTGTCCTGTCCTTAGAGTGTGCGTGCGTGCCCGTGGAGGGGGAGTATCTTAAGTCTGTTGGCTTGTAGCCCGACGAGGCAATCATTCAGACCAAAAATTGGGGCAGCCAGCTGGCTAGTACACTGGGAGCACAGGGGGGATGGGATATAGGGAAACTACAGGGCAGGAGCCCCAGAATGGTGGAACTGGGGTCCCCCGTGGGAAGGACTCAAAGTCATCCAGTCAACCCTCAGCCACTCCACATTCTGTCAGGTGGCCCCCTCCTCCCTCACGTCTAAGGACAGGAAGGACCCTCCTGGGCTCTGTGAATCATCCGAGAGGAATTCCATTGTATTCCAGGAGGTTTTCTGGGGAGCAATTACTGATAGTGCTGGGATTCTCAGAAATGTCCCCAAGTAGGAGGCAACTCTCAGCTGAAGGCGTGACCCGCTCCTGGGCCAGACTAGAAGGCGGAAGGCTCACTGTCCCTGGACACTCGATTGGGTCCCTGTTCCTCATTTGCTTCCTCCTCTGGTGTTTATGATTTCCGCCGGCTGGCACACAACTTGGCACAGGCCAGATTTAGGTTCACCTTCTTTCTTTGTTAACATCTGCCCCTACCCATCTGTCTTCCCCTCGGCCCTGGGGCCTGCTGTGACTCTGGGCAGAGCTCCCTGTGCCATCCTGCTTGCAGGCTCCCCCCGCCCTGCACCCCCCCCCCCCGAAGGGTCTCTGAGAGTGGTCTTCAAGGACAAGATTAAGTGTGTCCTGGAAAAAGAGAGAGGAAGTAGAAGACCAGAGGGCAGGTGGAGAAGGAGGGGAAAGCTAAAGACTCAGATCTGAGGGTACAATGTTATTGTGGGTTTAGTCTAAGGTAATCAACCTGAAGCAAAGTGGGAAGAAGGGCTTAAGTAGAGAATGGGGTCCCAGGAGAAGAGCAGGGGCTGATTGGCCCATGCAGGTCTGCAGAATGACTTACACAACACACAGCTAGGCTCCCGGAGGGCTGGGGAAGGCTGGACAGGCTGGGGGGGCGGGCAGCCCCCCGACAGGGTGTGGGGCCAGAACACAGGGAAGCCCCGGGACCGTCAGCAGGGCGTGGGGTGTGGCAGAGGCAGGCAAGGGAGTCTCTGCCGAGAAGCAGGGAATTAGGGAAGAGCTTTATGATAAAAGGCCCAAAGAAGTTTTAAAGTATGGGTTCATGGAGAAGAGTCTCTCTTTGGGATGAACCGATGCCAGAACATTGCTCAAATCCAGCAGAGGAGAGCACTCTGAGATTTCAGGGGCCTCATGAAACTCCTGTCTCCAGAAGCCCTTCCCAAAGGCCTAGCAGTACCAGGGATTGTCACCCTCACATGGGGTGTCACCCTCTCTCTGAACGCAGAGCCAAGTGAAAGGGCAAATAAGAGTGACCCTTTGAGCTATATCTGGCTTCCCCAGAATGAGGGAAGGGCGTGAGGAACAAGTGTGAGGTTTCTGTGTGCCTGCGGGTTGGAGAAGGAACCAGACACAGAGGAAGGGGGAGAGAGGGGAGAGTGACTCAGGAGGCCAACCCATGACCCAGTCTGCTGGTGGGCAGGCCTCACCCAGCCCGGACAGGCAGGGATGGCGGGCCAGCAGTGCAGGCAGGCGCTCCTGTGGGCCGGGGTGGGAGAGGGTCTCAGCAGTAGAAGTACATCCTTGCATGAGGAGTCAATCTCACCTGGGGGCCAGGGGGGACTCCTTCTCCTCCTGGAGTCACAAGGGACCTGTGCTTCCCTCCCTCGGGCCTCTCACGAGCCCCCAACCTGGGACCAGAGGGCAGGACTCTTCCTGCTGCCTTTTCTCAGGGGCTCAGGACAGGCTTCCTGGGGTGTGACCTGGGAGGATGGCAAAAGGTAAGGGCAGGGGCCGTCCAGGCTCTCCCAAGGATGTCGAGCTGAGTCAGCGTTCCCAAAGACTGATTTCATCCCTGCTTCGCACATGTTCTGTGCATGTTCCTACTCGACCCCACAGACCTCCAGAGTAATCCTGGATGCTACTGGGAGTTGGGGGGAGGGCATTTATCCAGCTGGTTTAAATTCTGTTTGGAAGAGAGAGTTAGAACATCTGAAGGAAGGATAAGGAAGGAGACTGACATTGCGCGAAGAGATGTTTTCTGGTCACATTTCAGGCTAAATACTGGTTGACCCTTACAGAGTTCTCAGCTACAGGTCTTTAATGTTCAAGTTATTTAGGTATCTGGTCAAGTATTTAGGTATCTGGTCACATGTATTTCCTAGAGATGTCTCTCTGGAGAAGTATCAAAATGGAAAAGAAAAGAATAGTCTACATCTCATTAGCAGGTTGGAAAGGTGTCCCGAGTCAGTCCCTAGGCTGAACGCTTTTTTCTGAAGAATGTTGGTGGCACCACCCCGAGTCCTCTGTGGGCTCGTATACAACAGAAATGAATTTTAAGTTGAATTAAAGCCCACCACAGTGACAAGCATACTGAAAGCCTCTCAGGACCCATGTGGAACTCACAAGAGGTTTGTAGAAGCCACTACCCGCCTCTTATTAACTCAGGATCAACCCTGAGTACCCGCCTGGCTCAGATCACAGCCAAGGAGAGGGCTCCGCTCCATAAGCAGGGCCAGGTACCCACCGGCAAAATAGGTGGGCTCCCACAAGAGGTCACTGGAGAGACATGGGGGGCTGAAGTAGGTCCTGCAGAAGTTGTCCCCTGCGTACAGGGCAGGGATTCCATCACAAGACAGGCTGTCCTCGGGCTGAAGGTGTCCCGAAGCTTTAGGGCACATGAGATGCCTTTTGAGGAGAGCTAAAAGGAAAGATTTTGATGGAGGGAGGAAGGAAAGTGGGTCTGGAGCCTGACCGTGGGAAGAAGTGGGCAGGATAGTGCCTTATAAGTCTCCAGGGACAGCGTGCAGCTCTTGCATCTTAGGGACAGACTCCTTGAGAAAGGAGAGGACAAGTATGTGAGCAACATCAGCAGCCTTGCAATTTGGTGGTGGAGGGCAGAGAAACCAGAAGCGCAGACACCCCCGTAATCTCATGCCCCAAGCCCCCAGGGCATTCAGTCAAAGACCTGGGCCCCCGAGGGAGCTCTGGTGCTCCTTTGTCTTGGGCTAGCTCCACTTGCTCCCCACCCATGCCTGTTGACATCACACCACCAAAATGCCACCGTCCCCCTCAGGAAACAGCTGGATAGTGACCACCCCATTGAATTTACCGGACACACTGAATCTAAGGACCTGGGGGTGTGTCCTGCTTGTCTGATTCAGGAGGGAATTGGTTTTGTCTGGCGGGAGGTGCTGGGCGTGAGGCTGGGTGAAGTCACGTCATCCAGGCCAGAGCTTAAGAAGAGCCAAGACAGAGTGGCACATTTTCTGGAGCTCTGACTCTTGCCACCGCCACCACTAGGATGAAGCTTCTGCACAGTAGAGCCTGCGGTGGGAGAGCAAACCTGCCCTCTGCCTGGGGCCGGTCCAGCTAAAGGCAGGGGTGCCTCGATCACCCTCGATCACCCCTACAGGGGCTGAGGATAAGGCAAGTTCCCGGGCCTGGTTTCCATCCTCTCTGTAGGAAGCCTTGCCCCTCCAAAGAGCTCCCCCACGAGACTGTCCAGATTTGCAGTTGGCCTCTGGCCTCTAGTCCAGTTCCCTCGCATACCTCGAATGGCTCCTGTCCCCTCCGGGCCTTTGCCTTCTTGAGATGTTTGCTAAGCTGAGATTTCTGCTCCCTGGCGCCTGAGCCTCCCTGTCTAACCCCTGCCCTGACTCACCAGCTGTCAGTAGTCCGGGGTGCCTGCCTACAGATTTACGCCCGTTTGCACTAACCCCCACCCCGGGACATTGTTCAGTGGCCTCTGCTTCCGCGTGGAGATTCCCTGTCATTCATCCTGCCAGCGTTCTTGTGTTCTCTCCCTCCCTCGTTTTCCCTTTTATACTCCTCTTGTCCACCATGTAGCCACCCACGGATCCAACTGACTCTGCCCAAGCCGTCAACACCAGACCAAAGGCTTGGTACCATGATGTGTTCACATCCGTCTCTGGAGGTGGCCTGCCTCAGAGCAAGGGCACATGGCAGCAGGTGGGGGAGGGGGTGGAAATGGAAAAGCCAGTGAGGCTGGAGGCAAGGCCTCTGATGCTAGGAACAATCTCCAAGCATAGAATCCATCCGCCTGTTCCACTGGGGATGTCGATCCAAGGTGGTGGCATCGTCATGTAGTCAATAAATGTAGCACGATCTGCTTTTGCATTCCTGGTGCACTCACCTTTGGGCACTGGAGAGGGCCTGAGTGATTTGTTCCGTGCGGTTGGGCAGCATCGTCTGACCACGCGGGTCTTGGAGGTGATGTCCCACTC